GCCCCAGGTCCGTCCGGTTTCAAAAGTCCTGGGGCCCAACAACGGCCCCTGGAGACCGAAACCTATCAAAAACAAAAGCTGTTCAAAAAAAAATCTCTGAAAATGCGGCCAGAACTGCCGCGGGCATCTACCACGATCGAGAAGAAGAAGAAGAAGAAGAAGATAGGACGAGGAGGAGAAAGAGGAGGAAGAAGAGGAGAAAAACAAAAAAAAAAAATCATCGTCGCCGCCGATGTCTCACAAATTTTCGTGGTGGGCGCTCTCCGCCCCCTCTGGGCCTCCAGGACGCTCCTCGTCGACACAGCTGGGTCCACTCTCGAACTTCTGGCCAGACGCACCCCGAGCTGGGTCTCAAAGATTCCCAAGCCGATCCAGGGGGCGGAAAAGGAGGCCTGGGACAGGCCGCGTGAAGGCCCCAAGCAACCCACATAAGACCACGAAAAACTTTCAAACAATCCCCTACCAGGCCCCTCCTTGAACCCCACAAGCTACGTAAGACAGGCCGACACCCCAAGATTGCCCAGCGATCGCGCGTTCCGCGAACTCCGTCTTTCACTCTTGCTGCCGCCCCAAGGGGTCGGCGGTGCAGTGTAAGCCAATGAATCATTATCAGCCCTCCTCGTCCTCCTCCTTCCTTCTCCTCCTCTTCTTCCCTCCTGTTCCTCTCTTCCTATACCTCCTCTCGTGTTCCTCCCCTTCGTCCCTCCATCCCTCTTACTTATACGCACTCCGAAGCCATGTCTGTTCAAGATGCTTCGTTCCACAAGAGAACGAGTGGATACCGCTAGTCCGCGACAGGCAAGGCTGTTCAGCCTGGCATCTCTTCCATCCAGTGGCCCGTCCGCCCCAGTCACTGAGCTGCCGCCTGCGCCCGCTGGTGAGCTGGCGTTGCTTTCTGCACGCTCGGACACAGCCACGGTGGCGGCATGTGGCGCGGGTGCAGTACCTATACCTCGTGCCAGACCTGTGGAAGATGGGTCTACAATTGGAAGTTGGAGCGTTCCGCAGGGTGGTGCCACAAATGCCACGCGGTCATGCCAGGCTGGAAGACGCAGTTCTCGGAGCTGGGCACGGACGGCGGCAAGAAGGTGGTGGGCAAGGGGGCCCACATGGAAGAATCGCAAGTCCACGGGGCACGGCTCGATTGGGGAGCTCAACAACCTTCTGGCCAAGGTGGAGAGGATTTCGGCACAGAGTGTTCCCCAGCTGGACCTCGGGCCGCTCAAGCAGGTGCAGACGCGGGTAGCGGCGGCTGCACAGATCCCGAAGAAGGAGGCATCGACGGAGCTGGCGCTGCAACAGGCCATCAACGAGCTTAACCGCTGCTAGCTGGAGGTGGAGAACTGCACGAGCCTCCTGCTGGAGGCGGAGGAGCAGGTCGCATCCCTGCGAATCCGCAATGACAAGGCGATCGAGGATGCAGCTGATGCGGTGGAGGAGCACAAGAGGGCCCTGCGCGAGAACCAGGACAAGACATCTGGAGCCCCATCGTCAGGCAAGACGGAGTGGGAGGCGCCGAGGGTTGGCGACCTGTTCGACGACCTGGACGAGTACGAGGAGGAGGACAAGGCCAAGCTCAAGAAGTTCAAGAGCGACATGGAGGAGCTGCACAGGTTGCTGCAGGCACAGAAGCAGAGCAGGAAGGGTCGGGTCACCAAGATCAACACCAATAACAAGCAGAGTGTGCAGGCCGCCAAGGCGGGTGCACCCCCTTCCGCGCGAGGCGCCACGGGCAGCGGCGCGAAGCCGGGGCCGTCTGTGGCGGCTGGTGGCGACGATGAGCATCTTCAACAGTTTCGTCTCGAGCATTCCGATGTGGGGACCGAAGGCCTAAAAGTTTGTGAATGAACGTGGTAAGCAGCACGATGTCATCATAATGTGCGAGACGCAGTTGGAGTCCACACGGTTGGAGAAGGCACGCGAAGAGGTATACACGGACGGGTAGAAGATGATGGGCACGGCTGCCACGATGGCCAAGCGCCCAGAGCGTGGCACCACCGGCAGTGAGATTGTTTTGTCAAAGGCGCATTTGGTTTGTGCTGGATGTGATATGCTGAAAAAAAAGACTATGTGAGGATGGAGGCGCTGACCCGTTCAGAGGGTTCTCGGCGCTGACGCTGCACACTCGCGCTGGGAAGACCGTGCTCATCGAAGCATATTTGTTCCCTGGAGAAGGATTCAAAGGTAGCAATTTCTTTCGCATTCGATCGATGGCTGGATTCATTCGTACGTTGACTGACCCATGGGTGATTCTGGCAGATTGGAATCTCAAGGCCCACCAAGCTCGGCGAGGTCGTGGTCTAGCCACATGTGGAGGTTACCTGTGACAAGGGCAAAGGCAGCCTGATTGACTATGGCATCGCGCGGGTGGATTTCGCGCCTCGGCTCAGTTTAGAGGCAGTCGGAGCAATGCCATGGCGAACACGCTGTGGCCTTCAGCTGAAGATCACGGGTACGAAGGAGCAGTGGTGGCATCGGAAGCTGGAGGTGCCGAAGGGCTTACCACATCGACCGCGGCCTCAGAAGGCGGCGCACCCGAACTCCAAGACCAGCCAGAAGAAGCAGGCAGCACGTCGGCGCAGGAAGGACGAGCTGGAGGAACACCCGCAGGAGGCGTACGAGGAGGCTACGATGAGCCCCGAGGGGCAGGCGCATGCGATCACGGAGTCCAGGTGGGCGAGCGACAGGTCCAGAGACATGGGAGCTGCAGCTGACGAAAGAGTTGCACCTCATCGGTGGCGTGATGATCATCAAGAATAGCCAGCACCAAGAGGCCGAGCTCACGCTGACGAAGCTGTACGCGAAGGTGGTCACGACGGTGAAGGAGACAGTCTTGGACGTCGAGGAGCTTGACCACGAGGAGGCTGCCCTGTGCAGGGGTAGGGCGTCAGGCTTTGGCGTGAGAAGGGTTCGCGCCAAGGCCACCCCAGGCAAGGCGCACATGCGATACGGCCCAGCTGAGCAGTGGAGCATCTTGGCTGCGGAGATGGTGAGGTACCCGTCGTTGTACGTTCATGGCACTGATGGCAGACAACAGCAGCAGCAGTGCATCAAGAGAACCAGAAGGAGCTGGAGCTGATTAAGGCGCAGGAGGTTTCGGAAGCCTTCAGTAAGCATGTGTACTGCTGCTGTGGATGTGTGCTTCGAGATGGCGGGTGACACTGTGGAATTAGATGAGGGCCAGCCAGACAGTTTCATCTCACAGACAGAGAAGCATCTCGCCACTTCCCACGCGCGGGGCATGACAACTGGGAGAAAGAGTGCCACTTCGTGGGCCAAGAAGACGTGGCGTACCAAGGCAGGGATGCTACATCGACATGGGGAGCCGAAGGATGCACCCCGGTTCGAGATGCTGAAGACGGATACCTTTGCCACGGCGGACCCCACGCTGACCATGCAGGAGAAGGCTCGAAAGTGGGACAAGATTTGGCAAGACCCAGTGGCCAGCCGCGGGCACATTGTTGCACAACTGGAGCTCACCAAGGGGCGAGCGTGGGAGGAGCAGCTAGACCCCAACGACGTGGACATGCTGAAAGGAGCGCTGGCGGCTACGTGTCCATCGAAGGCGAAAGGACCGGGTCCAATGGGGCCTGTCGACATCGACAGGTTACCAGATCGGGCCAAGGAGGAGCTGGTGATATAATCATGAGGGAAAGCGAGAAGCACCTACGTAGCCTGGGCACGACAGTGCTGCGCCGCCAAGTGTGCTGTGATGGCGAAACCAGGACCTGCTGCAGGAGATTGAGTGCTGGGGATGCTCCCCCATCATGGTTTAGTTGGAACAGAGCACGTGGATCGGTCTGCTCAGCATGGAGTGCAGGGCTCTCGGCCTACTCGGACACCGCGCTCAAGGGCAGCTCGGCACACAGAGCGGGACTCCTCAGAGCGCTCCTCGACGAGACGGGCATCGAGCTGGGGGCCTGAGCTACGACACTACCACTGGACATCGAGAACTTGTACGACACAGTCTCGGTTGTTCTTATGATGGAGATCGCATATGCTGCGGGCTTCCCTGCGGTGGCGGTCGGCTTCGAGATGGCTATATTTCTAGGCCCAAGGCACTTGCACGAGCAGTCCATCATCAGCGAGGCAATCTGGCCCACCAGGTCACTGGTAGCTGGTTCGGCCAGAGGTGTCACGCCAGCCAATCTATGTTTACACCCAGTATTGGCGCAGACACATCGGCGATCTCCTCCTGTTTGTGGACATTCGTAGACGATACTGCCGCCAGATGCGAGGGCAGTGCGAAGACGGTGGGTGATGACATTGTTAAGCTTACGAATGAATTACGCAATAGATTGGCAGAGGAGAAAATAACAAATATCTGACAAGACTACAAGTAATGGATCGGACCTCAGAGCCAGCAGAATGGTAGCACAACGTCCACGTGCATGAGGCATTCCAACCAATAGATGGAAAACGGCGTAGACACAAACTACCGACGGTCCGCGCGGACTTTCTGGATCTGCGCCGGACCCTGTTCCCTGGCGCGCGGAGCGCGCCAGGGGCGGCGCCCGAGACGCCACCAAAGCGGCACAGCGTCGATCCAAGAAATCCGCGTGGTTCGTGAATAATGTATGTTGATGCCGTTTTGTCTTCTTCGAGCTAAGGCAATCAACACTGCAGTGGACCTGGGTTTGAACACAGCTAGTGGTCGAAAGGGAGCCGCGTGCAAGCGCAGGCACCGACCTCCCCCTCCCCCTCCTCCTCTCCTCCTCCTCCTCCTCCTCCTCCTCCTCCTCCTCCTCCTCCTCCTCCTGCTCCTGCTCCTCCTCCTCCTCCTCCTCCTCCTCCTCCTCCTCCTCCTCCTCCTCCTCCTCCTCCTCCTCCTCCTCCTCCGTTCCTCACTCCCCCCCTCCCCCCTCTCTACCCCTTCCTCGTTCATCCCTCCCCCGCCGTTGCTCCGAGGCTGCGGGCGGGGCTGATGGACCGGCGAAGCGCGAGCCGCGGCCCGCCCCGGCCGGGGGCCGCCCGGCCGGAGGCCAAAGGGGGGGATGGGCCTTCTGCTTCACGGCCATGTCCTCAGGGGGGAGGGCAGCTACCACGCGGACCACGACCACGACCAGGCTGGCCCGCGCACGCTCTGCATGTGTTGTGTCGCAGCCAGCCGCCGCCGGGCATGAACAGCAGCCTCCTCCAGTTCGTCGTCGCCGTCCTCCTCCTCCTCCTCCTCCTCCTCCTCCTCCTCCTCCACCCTCCTCCTCCTCCACCTCCTCCTCCTCCTCCACCACCACCACCACCACCACCACACCACCATCATCATCATCATCATCATCATCATCATCCTCATCCTCATCCTCATCCTCATCCTCATCCTCATCCTCATCCTCATCCTCATCCTCATCATCATCATCATCATCATCATCATCATCATCATCATCATCATCCCCCTCCTCCTCCACTTATGATTCTAAAGGTTTAAAATTTGCACCAGGCTCACAAATGGAGGGCGGGTGGTTTTCAAAATGAGTACCGCTCACACTCTTTTTAATTACCCCAGTGCGACCCTACCTAGAAGTTGGAGCCCCTAGGAAAGCAGCATTAGTTGCTATGATATGCTATACTATGCTATGCTATGCTATGCCATGCCATGCTATGCTATGCTGCGCTATGCCATGCTATGCTATGCTATGCTATGCTATGATATGCTATGCTATGCTGCGCTATGCTATGCTATGTTATGCTATGCTATGCTATGCTAAGCTATGCTATGCTATGCTATGATATGCTATGCTATGCTGCGCTGTGCTATGCTGTGCTGTGCTGTGCTGCGCTATGCTATGTTATGGTATGCTATGTTATGCTATGCTGCGCTATGCTATGCTACGCTGGGCTATGCTATGATATGCTGTGCTGTGCTATGCTGTGCTACGCTCTGCTATGCTGTGCTGTGCTGTGCTATGTTAAAGCTCGGCGAAACTAAAATGAAGGTAAGCTAAGCTAAGATAAATATGAGCTAAGATGAAACTAAGCTAAGCTAAAATTAAATAAGCTAAGCTAAGATGAAATAAGCAACGCTAAGCTAAGGGAACGTCACTGGGGGAACCGCGGGGCGGATCCTGGGGGAACCGCCCGGGGCGGGGAGCACGGCCCGGCCCTTTAAGCACACAGGGTAAGAACCCTTCCAGGCAGAGCCTAGGTAGGGAAAAATGTGCAAGCGCTTCACGGACTGAGGGCGGGTCGTTTTCAAAATGTGGTTCTCGCCTTAGCGCCGCGCACATTCGCTTTGAAAAATTGCAAGAACTACACGGGTTGAGGGCGGTCGTTTTCAAAATGTGGTTCTCGCCTTAGGGCCGCGTTTGGAAAAAAATGCAAAAAACAACTTCACGGATTGAGGGCGGGTCGTTTTCAAAATGTGGCGATCACCTTACCGCGCACATTCGATTTAAAAGCTTGCAAGAGCTTCACGGATTGAGGGTGGTCCCTTGTTCAAACAGCCTTAGCGCCGCGCACACTCGGTGTAAACATTTGCAAAAGTTTCACGGATTACTATCATCAAAGCACATGAAATGGTATTTTGGACGGAATTATAATACTGCAGTTACGTCACTTCTCTGTGTTGTAGTCCTGGCTAGGAACAACATTCTGGCGCGATTCGGGATCGTGAAGACGCAACAGTCAGGTTGATCCGCGGCGTTGAAATCCCGAGAAAAATGTTTGGGCATGAATCAGGGTCTTCAAACGGGTGTCTTCCAATGAAGCAATTCCATCAATGGAAATGAACCGTGGTGAGGGCCTATGAAGAGGGAGCTCGGAGGCAGGGTTGACTCCAACATCGTTGATGACTCTTGACTTTACACTGGCCCTCCTCCTCCTCCTCGTTCGTCTGTTCGTTCGTTCGTTCGTTCGAACGTTAATTCGTTCGCAGCCCCAGGGACGAAGTCTGAGCCCCAACCAAACTAGAGCAGGGAAGCGACCACGGCAGCGGCGCGCCCTCCACGCGCCTCTCCAGGAGACACCCCGCCCCCCGTTACAAGGCCCAAGCCACAGCTGCAACCTGCAAAGCCACCCAACAAGAACATCCCATCCCAAATGGGCCTCGGGCAAACTCAAACCCTGCGCATCATGACACCGACGTCCTAGCTCTGGCCAAGCCCACGATCTGCAAGTTGGCACGGTCGCACTGGATCTGAGCGCGCGACAGCAGCTTCCAAGGCCTGCGCGAGAGACACACAACGCGCTGGCCCAGCTCCCTTCTCGAACGCCCCCTAGCCCATCTGAGCCACGACACTTAGACTTGCCCCTTTCGCTGCTGAAGACGATCAGCTTCCGCCCCCAATATGCCTGGACGCCGCATTCCCGAAATCCGCCCTCGCGATCACCTCGCATACTTGACCAAGAAAACCCGCCACCCCCCCCTGAGCCCCTTGAATTGGGGACATTCCAAGCGCCAGCCCGAGACTTGGCCAGCCCCTGGACCGGGTCGAGCAACCTGCTGTTCTCCATCTTGCTCACGTTGGACATCGCCCACCTTCGCCACGCCACCCCCCGCAACCACCGCGCCCATCACGGCGTCTGCCGTCGACACATGACCCGCGGGAAGACAACTGTACTCTAGAATATCCATTATTTTAGCACGTCGGCAACGACCCTGAGATTCCTCGACCGCCTTGCACTCGAGCGCTGCCACCCAAAGCACACGCTGCATTCATCTCGTAGCTGCTAGCCACGCACGCAGATGTAGCCCGCATTGATGCCGCGCCAGCTTGGGCTTCCAGCTCGCAGGAACATACTTGGCGCGCGCAGGGGCCCTCGATCAGCATCTCCATCATGACCGGGTCCGTTTGTATCGAACCTCTCACATAGCTCGCGCTCGACTCCGATGACCTCCATATCCCGCGCATCTTGTCTGGTCTCCTGATACCGCACCTGCTCCACCACCTTCACGATGGGCACACGGTCCGTCGGGAGTCTGGAACACCCCACGTTGGGCGCGCGAGGCAGCTGCGGAGGTGCAATAGGTAGTCCGAGCCACCCCTCGTTGTCCGCGCCAGAAAACGGCAGCGATTAACAGGCGCGCACGTCGACGCACCTGCAGCGCCATCTATCCCGGACCCCTCAACTCGAGCCGCCAAGGCTTCATCCATGATCAAACAATCACACTTGCTGCCCTCAACACGACTGTTGGCTCTGCAAGCGGCCCCAAAAAGGAACCAGAAGCAGAACGTCCAACTGCTCCAACCATGCTTGCCCTCGCACCTGATGCGACCCAGGACCCCGCCCCCCACCCCGCCCCCCACCCCCCCACCCCGCCGCCCCCACCGCACCCCACACACACACACACACACACCAACGATCCAAAGCCGGGACTCATCATTCAGCTGGCCGAGGTGCACCGCCAGCTTGTAGACAACAGAGATGCCATAGCTGCCCACGCCGACTGAATCCAGCCAGCGCGTCGGAACACGCCACCCCCCTCTTGCATCCCCCAATACAGTTGCGCGGCAACAACAACAACAACAACACGCGCAGGCCAACGTTCAGGGCAACTTCAACGAGGGAGGTCGCGCGAGCATCACAAACGTTGGAGCTGGCACAGCAAGCCCCGCAGAGGGACCGCCTGCCCCTGCACGCCCGGCCGTGGACGTTGCCCACGACATCCGCGATCTCCCAGCTGCTTCTGAGGCCTGGGCAACATGGCAGCATCACTCTCATGCTCATGCACAAGAACTGCTGCGCCCCTTGCGATTTCCGTGTCTCGAAGCAAAAACCTTGCTGCATCCACGCTGGCCGTCGCGATCGGGCGCGCCATCTGGCAATCGCCCTCTTGCTTCCGAATCAAAGTCCCACCACGGACAGAAAGGTGGCCCGTAGGAGAATCAGCAGCTGCGCTAGACCCGCGAGGCCTCACGCACAGACTGGTCGTTTTTGAATTGCCCCGAGCCCCAGTGGAACCCTGGGCGCCGCCGAGCCCGCCAGACCACGCGCGCCACCCGGCTGTCTCCACACCTAAACCACTAACCTCTTCGGGCCTCAGAACGCTGCCGAACTGCCGTTTGGAAGTAGCCTCGCTCGTCGGCAATATCACCACCTCGACCGTTGCCCAAAAGAACTTAGCGCACACAATGCGCATTGGTCTTGGCTTCCTCCTCGAACATAAATAATGCGCCGGCCGCGAGTCAGATCGCCGCCAGGTCACCTCCAGGCCGAACAACTCCAGCAGCTTTCACCGTCGACTTGATCGTTTCCAAACTGGCACAGTTTACACACGCATTGGGCTCTGCTTCTTTTGGCACCGATCTGTTTTACACCGATGCCTGATGAATAGTTTTGCCCAACGCTTGCACCCTCGCATTCTTGATCTTCGCGACAGCACACATCCTGTCAACTGAAGAACGCGACTAACAGAACCAGATGGACGCGGCACCTCCCCCAAAACAATCGCATCGAGCCCAAGAGCAGCCAAGCCTTGAGATCTCGCACGTTCCTTCGCAGGAGCCACGACGCGTTGCTTGTCCTGGCCCACCGCACCGGGGCGATTTGTTTCCATGTCCACGACGCATCTCCCCGACTCCGCGCGACGTTTTGCACGTCCGTGACACGCTCCTTCTGAAAGTCGATAGCCTTGTCCTGTTTTGCGATACACTTAGCAATATTCTCCGCGCGTCGGTCGATCGCCCATCTTCTCAATCGCAAGTTTGCGCGCGCTGATTATAACTTCGAAGATCAGAACGCTGCCGCGAAGTGCCTCCACGAAGAAAAACCCAGGAAGCGCCCACGCAGTTGCCAGCCCCCCACAATTCTTGACCAGCTCCGCAACGCGCGCCCGGATCTCCCCCTCGCCATAGCCGCTGGAATTGGGGCGCCGGTCTTTGCCGCGCCCCTACCGCGGCCAACGCCCACGCCCATCCCCTCCGACGCATTGCCATCGGCCACGCGTTCCCCGAGGTTGGCATCGAGCACGAGAGATGGAGGAGAAGGAGAACAAGGAAGAGACGAGGTTTGGGCCTGCGGCGGGCCGTCTCGCTCGCACGGCGCGACGGCGCCGGCGGGCGCCCGCAGCGCCCGCGACGCCGTCTGCCCAGCCTGTTCGGCGCAGCGGGCGGCCGGGATCGGCGCCCAGAAGGCGCGGCGCGTCGGGCTGCGACCGACGCGCGGACGCCCAAGAAGAATCCCGAACGCGTCGGGGGCGGAGAAGCGGGAGGCGGGGGACGAATGGGGGGAAAGAGGAGGGAAGCGGAGGGGGGGGCGGGGAGGGACGACGGAGAAGGGAAGGGGACAGAGGGGAGGAGGATTGGATTGGATCAGACTGGACTGGATGGGACCGCACTTCGTCGAGAGGCCAGGTCCTCTTGCCAGCTGAAGTGGGGGATCGGCACTGTCGACCGTTGCCTGGGATTTTTACCTCTCACTGGAGCCCGCTGGCACTGGACCCGCCGGCGCAAGCAAGCAGCAATGGGAAAGAATGCAGGCCGAGACGAGGCGAGGAAGAGAGGGGAGCGAGGAGATTGTTGCATCCGAAACTCCCGGAGACTGCGTCTAACGAGTGTTGACATGCTCTACAGTATGATAAGAGTCTTCACTGGAGCCCCCCATGCAACTGCCGCCCCCCCACCCACCGCCACGCCCTTCCACTCGCGACCCGACCAAACACGACAAGCGCACACTGGCGCCGCGCAAGCGGGCGAGGGACGAGGGGGCAAGGGAGATGAAGAGAAACGACATAAGGCTGTGGAAGTATAAGACCAGACGCGGGCTTGAAATGCCCATCCCAAAGCCGACGCGCATCGGCTCAGCAAGTGTTTCAGGTAGCTTGTAAGGATGACCATAGCCTCTGTTGCGTCGAGATTCTGTCGCTTCTCACTGACGCCTAGCTAGGGCAGCGTGTTCTCTACGGCGCACAAATACACAAAGTAGCCCTGAGACTGCCATCCAGTCGACAGCGCGACATTGGTGCCCTCATCGTCGAGCTCTGTATTATTTTCATGTGGTTCGCCAGCTTCACGAAGCTCTCTGTCTTCGTCAGGCGATCGAACGCTCACGAGGCCAACCAGCTCACCTTCTTCATGCGGCACAACGAAGCCATGAAAATCAGCTGCTTCATGAGGCCATCTTCGTCGATCACACCTTGTTCGAGAGACGTTCTTCAGGAGGCTCGCTTCGCCCAGGCCCTCCGTCTTCATGAACCCCATTCTCCGCGACGACCATTATGAGGCTCACCGCATTCATGAGGCACCATTTCTCCGCTAGTCTTCGCAAGGCTCGCCTTCTCCACGTCGCTGGCCTACGCATGTGACCCACCATCTTCGCAAGGTTTTGCATGGGGCGCACAGTGATCATGACGCGCACCTTCTTCCTGAGGCCCACCTACTTCAAGTGGCAAAACGTTGTCTGTATGAGGCCCTGCTCATTAAGGATGTCCCTCGTGATGCCCACTTTCTTCATGAGGCTGACCAACTTCATGAAGCCCGCCCGCTTCACGAGGCTCTGTTTAACGAGGCGCACTTCCTTCCTGGCGCCCAACGCCATCGAGAAGCGCCCCTGCTTCATAATGCTCATCATTTTCATGAGGCCCTCCTTCT